CCACCCAGACAGCTGAAAAGCGCTGCACGCAGGTGCACAGCATTCAAAAAACCTCTTTATCCCTGCTTTTTCAACCTCAGCTGTGTCGCGCAAAGCAGCTGAGGTTGAAAAAGCAGGAAATAAAGGACAGGTAAGAGCCCGGGCAGGTGGGTGGGCTGAACAGCAGCCAACACAGAACCGGTTCTGTGTCTGCTGCTCTTCAGAGCTACCGGCTCTATAGAACCGGGCAGAACCGGTAGCATCCCACCCCTGCTTTGAGTCCTCTGAGCTCTCTTTGACCAATTTGGACTGCAATTGTGAATTCACAGCTGCATGGTTTCTTACTCTGCTCGGGTGTCAAACTCACGACATCATGTTGCCGTCACATGATATTTTTTCCCTCCACAGAGCTGGGGTGGGTGTGGCCTGTATGTGATGCATCCAGTCTGTGGGCCACCAGTTTGACACCCTTGTATGAGGTAGAAAACTGTAAAAATAAGCTTAATATATTTGGGTAAAGGAAAAAAAGGAAAAGAAAACCCCCAATATGGATACAATGTCTTCTCACTGACTTTGCATCTTCAGTTTGACTACAGCACCCCACCCCTCCAAATTATAACTACAGGTAGTCCTTGATTTGTAACAGTTCATTTAGTGGCCATTCAAAGTTACAACGGCATTGAAAAAAGTGACTTACGACCATTTTTCACACTTATGACTGTTACAGCATTCCCATGGTCATGTGATTTACATTCAGATGCTGGACAACTGGTTCATATTTATGATGGTTGCAGTGTCCTGGGGTCATGTGATCATCTTTTATGACTTTCTGACAAGCAAAGTCAATGGGGAAGTCAGATTAAATTAACAGTATTGTTACTAATTTAACAACTGCAGTGATTCATTTAACAAATGTGGCAAGAAGTCGTAAAATGAGGCAAAACTCACTTAACAAATTTCTCACTTAGCAACATAAATTTTGGGCTCATTTCTGGTTGTAAGCTGAGGACTACCTGTATATGTTCCTTGCCATGGAAATGTCCTAGGATTTCATAAAGAATAAATTGAGTCAGCTTGGAAGAACACCACAACTCACTTCTGTGATTAATACATTTCAAAACTGCTAGCCTATTTATTTAGGTGGTGGTGATGAAATTAACTGCAAAACTATTTCCTCTGCCCTGTTTTCCCCCAATGCTAAGCCATTTCCCCCCTTAGTTAATATAATCTCTTAAATAGAACTCCAATCAGAAGTGGAGCACTGCAGGATGCCTAGATGTAACAGTAAACTGGATTGACTAGTTATGCCTCCTATCTTGTTAAATAAGTCAAATTCCCTTCCTGAATGGATTGTTTTCAAAGCAGTAAAGGAATCCAATCCATCTGGATGTAGGTCTGTATTACTAATCTACATATAGCAAGCCCAATCCTGTAACACATGAAGCATCTCCTACTGACTGCCATTGGAACAATTATTAAACAACTAACAGTATAATTATCCTCTAGCAGCCTGAAAATGTTATCTAAGACCCCAGCTCTTCAACCCCCATTTAAACAAGGTAAACGGCTATAATTCTGAGTTAAGTTCCCATAAAATGGCTACAATATTAACAGAACTCTTTATTTAAAAGGTAGCTTGTCCTTTAAGTCCAACTGTCTGATGACTCTATTAACGTGTCCAGATAAATCTTGTCAGAAGTTTGCCATTGTTTCTGCTGGGTATATTCACTCAAGGACTAAGTAGGACTGATACTGTTTAATTTCCAAATCCAAATGAGATTGACTGGGTGCTGCCTCTTTTTTCTTTTCTTTCTAAACTGAATGTTTTTCTGCTGCTGCTTTTAAACTCCCATTGCCCCAGAATGCTCCCTACCAGCTAATCTCAGCCTGTTTGTTTTTCTGGGAAGGTGAAATTTCTAAACAAAGGTCTGGACTGCAGCCACGGCCATTTATACATCCTAAGACTCCTATGGCGCCTCTGTGGGATCTACAGACATTCTTGGAAGTAAAGATAATAGCAGGGGCTATCATATTGCTTTGAAGCATGCCAATTTCATCAGTATTTAATTTTAAACAATTACAATATGGTGGCTTTAACTAATTTTTATTTTAAATACTTTCTATTAAGACGATCAGTGGATACATACTGTAGATGCCCAAAGTATTAAACCAGTTTTCTCCTTGCAATTCAAAATTGCAACAAATTAAATATAGTAGTTCCTTTCAAACATTTCCTATATGTGTAATATATAAACTGGCTTTCTTGCATATAATTTCTTAATAAGAAAAAGAAACCAAAAAACAATAGGTCTTTATGCAGAAGATGAATGTCGCTTTCCCTCTTCTTTACTGATTGAAACCTAATTGTTATTACTCAAATATCCCTTCATTCCAGCAGGGTTAAATTTCCCACTCTGGCTATATGTGCAATTCCTGTTAAATCATGCTTTATATAAAGCTGTGCACTTTCATACTGACGACCCCACTTATCTTATAGTGGTTTGGGAGGGAGGCAATCCAATAAGCAGTCAGAGTGAAAACTAAGTTTATTTGCATTTAAATATTAATTAAAATTAAGTCCTTGGGACACATTTTGCAGTTTGCAAATAAAAAAATTGTCACTTTTGATTTTAATTAACCACAACGTCAGCTCTGAAAATTATGCAAACTTCAAAATCCATGATTTTACATGGATTTCTCTGATACTGTTACTACCACTGAACATGCAAACCTGGTATATGTTACCTTTACTTAAAATTAAAAGACTTGCCAAGTACACTGAAGAAATAGCAGTTCCAGGTATATTGAGGCTTGATTCTATCTATTCACTACTTGTGCCAAATCATTTAGCATGATTTGTAAATCAAATTTTAGATAGGTCAATAGGCTTTGCAAATCAACTACCTACGTAGGGTGGAAAGTACGTGGGAATATGTAAACCTGCAATTAAAGTACATGTTGCCTCTGAGTTGTCAATATCATTAATATTTATATTTGGGTCCTGCTTACCTTAGACAACAATGGATCCAGATATTCTGGGGCTGAACTGGTAGTTTTTCAAAAACACTTTTTACAGAAAACAGCCAGACCACTCCCAGAATAATAGGATCAGCATGGTCTGGAAGAACAAAATATTCTAGAATTACTCGTAATATTCTTTCTCTAGAATGGATCCTTTTACATCTATGTATTGATTACTACACCTGAATACATTCGTCTTCTAAACAAAAAGTATCGCTCTACCACTACCATAAATCACAAAACTAGAGGGGGGAGGGAAACAAGACCTAGGCTAATTTTATTTTATTTGAATAAAATACCTGAACTTCCCTGAACTCAGTTAATGAGATTTTATTGTCTTTGTACAAAATGAGTCAAACCTCATGTTATGGTTTAAAGAAATATAAAGCATTACAATTCTTGACATCATCTGGATGATTACTTCAAGAAATTTACTTTGCCGTATTGAACTGTACTACTCCTTTTTTGGTTAATCTAGCATACAAATATATATTATTCATATAGTCAATAATGATACTTTAATGTATTAAAATATAATTTACTGGCTTTCATAAATTTGCCAAATTTATTCATTTTATCAGAGATTAGAGATCTTGTTCATACTCAAATTATTTGGAGCCAGACAACTTATAGATCAAGCTATGATTGTGTGTTCAAAGAATCATGGTTACAACTGGTCCTTGAAGTTCTGGTTATACAGGACACCATGATCATGTGATCACAATTTGGGCACTTTGCAACTGGTTCACATTTTTGTTGCAGTGCCCTGTAATCACATGTTCGCTATTTGCTTTTTTAATTGTAATTGTATTAAATAAGTATTAGTTGAAATGAAAAAAACAAACTACAATCTAATATTGTATTTCTTGACATGATCTATGGCAGGATTTCAGTATCATTAGTTTTTATGAGAGAACAGTTTCTTTACCACATTTACTATATGTAAGAATTATAATAACCTATTAGTAATAACTGTTATTCAGCCAATTGCCCTTCCCAAACACATCTTTTAATGTACAATCTGTGTGTTTTGTTATAGAAAGTTTGAATAGATTATTCAGGCAACATTGCCATCCTTTCATCAACAATTTTATTGCCATTCAATTTCTCTCCCATGCTCTGGTCATCTTAACAAGGAAACCTGTTTACACAGAATAGACTGAAATGGAAATAACTTGTGTGGATTTCTCATAGCATGATATTCATAGATTTGAATTAAGAGGGCTTGATGTCAAACATAGTTTTCATTTTGTTCTTTCTCATGTATGTAAGAAGTAGTAAAATAATGTATGAATATTTATTATATTTGTGCATTGGAATGACAAGCTACCAAAATATTATGTTGTAATCAGCTCCATCATGCCTCACTGTTACCAACTAACAAGCTCCTTGTGATCTACCAGAGTTACCTTCTTGGCTTTTGTTATAAAAGGCTAGATGATGATCATGATGATTTAATAATGGCTTCCTTTATTAGTCCAAAATCTTGGAGCAACAATATTCTGACATTCATATAATGTTCAAGATAAATAGATATGGCTACTTGAAGAAGAATTATAAGAAAGGAGCAATCAGTTGGCTATAGCATTTGGTTGTTAGAAAATTAAAGACAGGTACATAATCCCAAAGGACATGAGCACCATTCCTAGAGGAGCTAGTAATCAAGAAATCTATAGTTTGTCTCAAATATGATAAGCTTCTTTTTTATATGATGGTTGGGATGTTGGTTTTACAAACCACAAAAATGAAATATAAATCACAAAGTAGATTATTTTTATGTAGATATAGTAAGTGAAATTAAACCTGCATACTAAGGTTGCAGTTTGGTACTCTTCATCTAGAAGAAATTTGATGTGTTTTAAATTGTGCTGGTCATTGTAAATAGAAGGACAAGGTTTTTATAACAATTTTTTTTTGAAAATCCCCTTTTCATATGCAAATGATAAAGAAGCATAAGCATTTGTCTTATTTCTGTCCCCCCCCCCCCCCATCATCTACAGAGTTGCCACTCCTTTTGGTGGTTTTGAAAGAGCATCAAAACTTATCAAGTACAAAGTCCCAGATTTTAATTTTCTGCTGCTAAATGATCCACGATTTATGGTCCTTGCCAACCCACTTTCTACCAGGAGATCATTCAACAGGACTCCTAAAGGTTGGACAACTGAGAATATTCCCATAATGATAACTATACAGCCTACAGAGGTCAATGGTGTTCCAGAAACAGATGATTTGTGAAAAGTAAGTGCCTCTCACACCAAATTCAGCCTGGCAGTGTTTTAATCTTTTAATACTCTCTACATCTGTTCCAACATCCTATTTTACGTTATATTGAAATGTAATATGATATGATGATGCAGTTGTATTCTGAGATTAACTAATATTGCAATTGATTGCTAATACAAATAAAACTATGTGGCCAAAGCATCTTTTATAAAAACTATATTTGACTCTTTAATTCAATCTTTACATTCTACATATTAAATATAATCTTGATTGATTCTCATTGGTCCATTTTAATATTAAGAGATCAGATAATGATTAAAATTTCAAAATTTATCTATCAATTCTAGTTTGATTAGGCTTGCTACTGAGATATAGTGGCAAATGTTTACGTACTCTTGGTTAAACTATATATTTCTATGAACTGACCCAATTTGTACATCATATAAAATTAAAATGACATCATTTTGTGAATCTGATGGCATATTTATGTGCAGATTTAAACTGACCAAAATAAAGAGTGTACTTTTGTTAAGTAGGTATGCCATTAGGAATCTGAGTAAAAAATGATTTTTGGAAACAATCAAATTTTTGCATGTTGTATTTTCTAGAACACCATAAGGAAGTTGCAATTTAATATAAGTCTTTCAGTTTAGCGGTTGTCCTTGACTTATGACCATTTCTTCTGTAGCTATTGGAAATTACAACAAAGCTGAACAAAGGAACTTACAACCCCTACCTAGTTATGTCCACTAAAGCCTGGTGTCATGTGAAAAAATGTTGAATGCTTTCCCCACCCACCCTTCTGATCCTCTTAGGCTTTGTGTCCACTTCACACCTAGTTGGATTCCTATAGGCCTTGGGCCTGCTTCTGACCCTGCTTGGTCTTACACCGTCCTCTCCACCCTCATAATGACTCAGTTTCTTACTTTTTCCATAGATCTCCATGGAAGCCACATGGCATCATACGGACAGCAGATGCCATTTGGGGAATGGCTACGATGTGTGGCCACTCAGAAATGGTGCCCACTTCTGGAATGGCACATGAGGTCCCAGTACTGTATGGGGGAGGGCTGAGGGGCAATTGTGTTTGAGAAGGAGGGCTAGCTCTTCCCCCATCAGTCTCCCCATACAGCCTCCAAGGCTGTGGAGTCTCAGTAGAGAGGGAAACAGAGCACAGGGTGCTGTAGGGATGTGGGAGACCTTGGGAGGCAGGAGCAGGCCATGTGCGAACTGGGGAGGTGCTGCAATGTAGGACTGGAACTGCATTAGGACTCCCAAGGAGTCAATCCAAAGGTGACTCCCCCACCACTGAGGCACCCCCATTGTTCATTTGAACCAGAATGGTTGTTTAACAACCACAATGGTGAGAGCAGTGCCTGAGATTGTTAAGTGAGGCAATCATGTGGGCACCTTGCTTAACAATTGTCACGATTTATGTCTCTAATGGGCAGGCTCCCTTATGGTCGTAATTCAAGAACTACCTGTATTAAACTGATCTTAAGTAGGCCTATATATTTATGCACCTAATTTCAATTTTGAAAGTATATGTAAGACACAATGTCATTTATTGTTTGAGATGTTTTCAAATGTTATGATCACATGTTGCATGACTCCTGTGAATCTATGCACAGAGCTATATGTGAGTTGTTCGTGGCAGGGACCCATTAATGTCTTTTATGGCTGTAGATTCATACAAGAAATATCCATCTGTTTATTTATAGGCACTCTCCTTCATGAACCTAATCACACTACAAAATGCATCAATTGTAAGATAGATGGAATTAAGCAAATTTTTCACAACCAGCTTTGCTGTTTTATGTACATTCATTTATCCACAAAAATTAGTCACAAGGGTTTAATAGGATAGAGATGATGTATTATAGTATATTGCAAATACTATTTCATCAGATGCATTTCTGACAGGGGCTTTGTTTCATAATCTGCTTATCTAAAGGCAATCTCCTTCTTGAACCTAATCACACTACAAACATGCCCTGGGAATCTCCTTTTAATGTCAAGTCTCTTGGACAACACCTTCATCTCATCCCCAGTCCATTGAGCAAGCTTGAATCAACCTTAGATGTACTGGTGTTAAAATGTTGTTTTCTTCCTTATTCTGATACTATCAAAGGGTAGCCTCAAGGCATATATGTCTATTAACTTTACATTATCTTGGAACAAAGTCAGGTGCTTGTAGCGACCTGCAAAGGAGCAAGATAGATGTCAACAACCTGAGTGGAAAATAGTTTTCTCCCAAATTAAGGATGTGTAGATAGTTTTCAAAAGCAGTGGGAAAAGGTTCTAAGGCAGACATCATTGGATACTAATGTATGAAACAGAGCATGTCAAACAAGAACACTTTGAAAAGGAAAGAATGGGACTGCTAGTATTGGCTATATTTTAATATCTGTGCTGCAAGATGTGGAATCAACTTCATAAAAAATTAAACCTAATCTAGGAAGTAAAACTTCCCTGATTAGTCCTGAGAAATGCAACAGGCTTCATCTAAAAAGCTTTTCATTTGGGGAATGAAAACATATCACATAGTGAGAAGAGAGGAACAGAATACTCAAGTTAGGACAAATTCCCCAATATCCTAATATTCAATGGGAAACTGCCCTGTGGCTGCCTACTTTTGGCAAGAGCTCATTATCATCTCATAAAAACACATTGTTGGTGTATCAACAGAGCTGCTCTACTGGTTTTCATCAATTCTTTTGATCCCTTCTGTAGAGAACAGTCACTCTGTTCCTTGTAGATCAAGCTATACAAGGTCTTTCTTGCTATTTTCCAAATTTCTGTTTCCTTTTTGCTACCGTAATATTTAATATAAATCACTTTTTTTGTGTAGCACTTTGTCAGATATTCAGCCCCAAAGAAGTATTTCTGAGATATTGAAGATTTCTTTGTCTGATGCACAAACACTCCATCTTGCTGGTTTGTTAAACTGTCAGTTATGTTCACCACTTTTTCAGCATACCACTGTGACTCTAGCAATTGATTTGTAGAATAAGCCATAATTGACTGGGTTATATAGAACATTAAGCCACAAGTCCTTGATTACAAACCAATATGACTAGAATAATACTTTGCACTAAACCACAATCAAGTTTAATGTTATTGGTTTAGTGCAATGTATGAATTCAAAGTTACAGGATAGAATGGGTGGGGAATGGTGATTTCCAAGCAGCATTTAAATGACTCACTTTGTAAAATATTGAAAATACAATTATGTGCATATTCATTAGACACTAATTGTAATACAATTTGTTCTAGCAGACTGAAGATTCTTTATAAAAGATGCCCTTAAATATGTTTATTATTTTTGCAGATGATAGATTATAGAAATTTTGAATATAAAATTTGCCATCAAGTTTAATACACATTTTATGATCTGTTTGATAATGAAGCCAAGTGATGAAAAAATTAAATAATTTAAAAGTTATGATAAAATGACTGAAATACCATTTTTAAAATTATTTTCAATCTTGAATATGTAATGTAACTTATATAGACAATCCAAATGCTTCCCTGAGAATGAATCCTATTGATCTCAATGGAGTGTATTTCTTGAGTAGAAATCTCACTGTTAAAGTTGACATTTTTGTTTTTTTCAGACATAAGTTCTGAAAATTGAAATATATGTAATGAAAGGATCTTATAATGAAAAGAGCTTCCTACATGTCTGCAGAACAAAATTGACAATATATTTCCTATAATAAACTATTATATGTTCTGCAGAGTAACTAATACTTTCCAAAAGCTTCAATTGGTGGAAAAAGAAGGTAGTTTCTTTATTTTGCTGTGTTTATAAAATATTGTTCAATAATATTACCTGCAGTGTTGTACATTGAATAATTTTCCCATCATATTATTTATAATTTCAATAATCGCATGCACATTGTGCTCATGTTCCACTTATTTCTATGTATCTAATTCTTCTACTCATCTTTGGTGTTCGGTTATGAAAATAAAGATATTTTCCCATTCCACACATAAATTTGTTTCATTCAAAGTTGCTAAAACTAAAGTCAGATATTGGAATTGACAAAAAGATGTGAGTGTTCCTCCAAAAAAATAAGTATTCCAAACTATGATATATTTCCAGTCTTTTCTTTGAAATCTCAAACTGTACATAAACACAAAGTTCATTTGACTGAATAGGAGACCCCTCTCTATAGAACTGGGGTGTCAAGCTCTATTTCATTGACAGCCATATCAGGGTTGTGTTTGACCTCAGGGGGCCAGGGTGGGCATGGCCAGCATGAAGTTACTTGTGTTGGTAGCGCCTGTAGTGGCCTGTGCACACTTGCGTAGCTCAGTTTTTGGCTGCGATAGCCTCCTGAAACCTTCTGCCAGTAAAAATGGAGCTCGGGAGGGCACGTGAACTCTGTTTCAGCCTCCTGCAATCTCTGCCAGTGAAAACGGAGCTTGGGAGGGCCACGCATGGCCCTCACCAGCTCCATTTTTGCTGGCAGAGGCACCACGGGCTGGTCCTTTGCTATTTCCAGGCAGCCCCATGGGCCAGATCTAAGCACCCTGCGGGCCAGATCCAGCCCCTGGGCCTTGAGTTTGACACCCCTGCTGTAGAACATATTTTGAGATTCATCCTTAAACTAGCTGTGATAAATAGAACCTCCAGTGTGACATCCCTATTATTAATAAGAATTTTGGGCTGTTTCTACATTAGACAGTTGACTGAAATTGCCATAATTTGTTCATTCACTATGCTATATAAAATACAGTACAATGTATATAAAATACTGTACAAACATATACACACAAAAGACCCACTCTATGCTGCTACCTTTTTAAATACAAAGGATATATAGCGAGAATTAAAAAGTAACACTATTCAGTATTCATCCATTGTAATTTGTAATGGTTATCATTTATGTTCCAAAGTATTAAAAGGTGAACATTTGTGTGTGTGTGTGTGTGTGTGTGTGTGTGTGTGTATAGAGAGACAGACAGAGAGAGACAGAGACGGAGACGGGGAGGGAGGGCGGGAGAAGCTTGGTGGTTTAGTGCCTGCCTCCCACTCAGAAGGTTGAGAGTTCAATCCTAGATAATGGCCAATGTTTCTCTACTAGAACACAAAGAAAAAACATCTGCTGTAAACTAATCTGAAGAAAGGTATTCGGAAGGCCAAGAC